GCAAGGCTGTGTGAAATTCAATCAAAATGTAAGCTCAACTCATATCATTGTGGGAAAATTCTTCTTCCATCAGCCCTTTATCACCTTAAACGAAATTAGGTAAATACATATCATATTACTGATTTACTGGTAGTCACGAAAACAATACTTAATTCGAAAAATAAAGTAAATTATCAACATGAAATGTATTCACCCACTTTCGTTTAAGGATGAAAACAACTTTTGGGAAAGTAAGGCTATGTGAAATTCAATGAAATCATCAACAGAACTCATGTCATTGTGGGAAAATTCATCTTCTACCAGTCCTTCATCACCTTCAACGAAATTGGGTGAATACATCTCATATAAATAATGTAGTCACTTGTCATAGCAGATACAACTTTCTTTCATCGAAAATCCTACTACAACGTGTGTTATAGGAATCTGGCTCTATCTGAAATTAACATCTGCCCTGTAAGCCAAAGGCACTGATGAAAATGTGTCGAAATTATAGGTTCGAGTCCGCTGATGTCGAAACTGCAGTCCATTCGAGTCTGGACGAGAATCAAGACTATGCCAAGCGTATGGGAGCGCAAAGTCTATCCATATCATTTTACAAAAATCCAATTCCCACTCCTTCATAGCCTTAAACACATCTCATATATCTGATCTACTGGTAGTCTCGAAAACCTACTCAAAAACGAAAATGAACTTTCGACACATTCTACTTTGTCATCACAATAAATTTCGCTACTTATATCTATGATAAGTAGGCCTCGAAAGGAATCGTGGAAGTTTGGCGTGGTGGGGACATGTCACAATTGAACGTTATATAAGCCAGGTTTGATTCCACTTTGGATACTGATGAGACAAAGGTGAAATTGAAGGAAATATTAATATGAAAGAAAAGCCAAGTGAAATAGACTGACATCAGAAGCCTATTTATATCATTACCGAAAAGTTCAACTAATAGTCCCTTATCATCATATGCAATTTAGTGTTAGCAAAATTCATATTTGTCCATCCGTCAAATGCTCGAGTAGGGCACCAAGATGGTTAATTACAAGCAAGACATTAAATTTCTCGAGATGTGATGACTTTCATTTCGTATGGAAGCACATTCACGAATCGGCCAACGTCTTCTGGCGAGATTGACCTACGAAGCTCTTCATCATGTACTTCCATGCTGAATGAAAGTCTTTACATAACAATTGAATTGTTAATATGACATTCTTTTCTTTTCTTCGTGACTTATGTATTTCTTGAGACAGCCCCTTTCATTTCCGGTTTCACCGATCAACTCAACCCGACAACCGCGACTTCATTCAGGCTTTCACGCCACATCAAAGTCAACGTAACGATGGAAGGGGTTGTCGGAGGATGCATCAAAACCGAATGACACTTAATGGGGAGACATCTCTTTCCTCCTTTCAGTGGGCATTTCATACAGCAACTGACATCTTGTCAAATCGGCTCGTGTGACAGACTATGACACCGGCTTTCTCACATGCACATACGCATCCAGTCGCGCTCTGCTTCGCAACGGTTTCGCACAGCGCCCGGTCTGACGACGTGGGGACCAGCAGACTCGCTAAACCCTGGACTGTACCCCATGTCCCCCATGTCTTGTTTCGGGCCCAGTCCCACACACACCTACAAACAATTGCTCCTCGTCTGACCCTGGCCTCGAGGGCGCACTCGTGTCCAGGCGACGGATTGTGTTTCCTCATGACCCCATTGCATAACCGGCATCCAAGGCCTGAGCTGCGTCGGTTACCGTCGGGCCCCCAAGAGCCGAATGAAGTCAAGTCCGGATAGTCTCTATGCCTCTGCTCGGCCATAAGACACGAGGGCTACCATGCCAGCAGCGTCGAGACTGTCAAGCCAACTGAAATGCAACTGCAACTGGCCTGACCTCACTTTCGCAACTTGGTTGTGTTGCCAGGGCGACTGTGTTGGAAGCATTCTGTCCAAAGGCCTCGGCTACGCTAATTATCATAAATGCCAGCTTCAGATCGTGGAATTGGTATATTCTCAGACATTTCTCGTCAAAGAGCCAAGTGAAGCCAACCCCATATTGGCAGAGTACTTCGGACAAGATGTATCCAACTTATCCGCCCTGACAACTCGATCAAGTTGAAAAGCTAGACCATTCCACTTCTGTACCTCGAAAGGAGACATTTGCGTCCGTTGACCTTTAGGTTGGTCTGAAGAATGGAATAGCATAATCGGCCTCGGATATAAGTAACTTTTTAAGACTTCCGGTAGATGCATTCACACTATTTCGTTTTAAGTGATAAGGGATGGTAGATTATTTGGATTTTACACTAAATTTCACATAGCCTTGCTTTTCCAAAAGGTATTCTTATCTAATCTGTAACGGGCTGTAATTTCGACCTCGCCCGGGTCTCATCAGCACCCTCAGCGGTACTCGAACTGCGATAGAGCTGCGTATACTTTCGGCTCGTTAACGACTATTGAAACTCTGTCACGAGTGCCCTTGATTCACAGAGCAGATGTGCATTTCAAGGAAAGTTAGGCATTTTCCCAAATCATCCAAATATGTGGAAGTAATATCGGTGGAATAAAAATTGTCGATTTTTGCTACACTAACCGACAACATTATTCACATTTCGTTTTATAATTGGGTTTTCGAGACTACCATTAAATCATAAATATGATGTGTGGTTAACATTTCAAGAGTATATTAGCTTCATTCTCACGATTCGACTTCCGCTGGGAGTGTTGATGATGGCAATTCAGGCGAGCTCCAATCCAATCGGGATTAGAATAACTTTTGGGAAATCAAGGCCTACTTATATCATTGTGAGTAGTCTTTCACATTTTGAGCAGAACAGAATGAATACATCTCATAAAAATTATCTGCTGGTGATCTCGCAGCCCAACTTATAAACGAAAAATTAGAGGCAACTGCACATCTCTTGTTTCTAGTCTGAACAGCTTTTATTTTTTAGAAAGGTTTTACCACCAAAAGCTGTCAACCTTGTAGATACGAAGAGAAACTTGGTTTCGATGAATCTCCTGAGATATCATTGTTAGGGGGAACTTCATT